ATCCATTCTTTACTTATTTAGAACGAAAATTGTTTATAAGTCAGTAAAGTGCTCCTTTAAATGCATCAAAGAGTTAAATGAAAAAAAAAAAAAAACTAGTAAATTACAAAGAGAGAGAGAGAGAGAGAGAGGAAGTAATTTTTGAAATGAATAAATAGAACATATTTTAAGTAAATAAGTAATATAAGAATGTTAACATTATCATTATTAAATTTAGTAGAAATGATTTCCTGCTATTTCAATATAGTTTTGTACTTATGAAATTTAAATTTTATTATTTTCAAAAATTTTATTATTATTATTATTAGATTCAATACAAATGATTGTGAAATAATTGAAAACATTTTTGTGTTTAAAAATTTCAAATTTTAGTAATTTCAAAAATTTTATTACCATTATTATATTTATTATAAATAAATCTGTGTTATTGGAAAATATTTTTGTGTTTAAAAATTTCAAATTTTATAAAAAAAAAAAAAAAAAAAAAAAACATCAAATTTTAGTATTATCAAAAATTTTATTACAATTATTAAATTTAGTGCACATAATTCTGTGTTAATTGAAAATATTTTTATATTTAAAAGTTTCAAATTTTAGTATTTTCAAAAATTTTATTACCATTATTAAATTCAGTACAGATGATTCTCGGATATTTGCTTGTAAAATTCAAATTTCAGTATTTTTGAAAATTAAAAAATTTTTTTTTATGATTATTTATTGATGCTGCATTTTTGTAATTTGATAATTTTATTTCTGCAGATTAATTATCCCATCGATATCATCATACAATAAAGAAATCTAGTTGAATATTGCATTTTTTTTTGGAATGCAATATTTAAATTAAATTTAATTCAAGTTAAAAATTTCAAATTAATACTTTTAAAAATTAAAATTTTTATTTCCAAGATTATAGTTTGCATGGAAGTTTACTTCTTACATTGAAATATTAAATTTTTCTCATAAAAAAATTTGTTTTTTTAAATTGAATTGAGACTAAGTTATTTCTTTTGTTTGTTTAAAATTGTCAAATTTTGAAATAGCAAAAAAAAAAACTAAATTTTTTTAACAATGTCAAGAGCAAAAGTTAAATTTTCATTCTTTGCATATGTCAGCAGTTATCAATTATTCAATGACAGTTAGTTATTTCAAGCTGAAAGAATGAAAGCTTTAAAAAATATTTAAATATATGACATGTTATTTTAAAGTTTAAAATATTCAATTAGCTATTGCTGTTGCGACAGCAAATTTCATTTGAAAAGTTTAAATGTTAACAAAAAAAAAAAAAAAAACGAATTAAAGATTTTTAAGGAAAAGTTTAAAACATTTAAATAAAATATGCAACTTTTTAACGTCACAAAACGATAAAGTGATTAGCATACTAAATGACATTTTAATTCTTTTAACTTATCAATTTTTGAAATGTTAAAAAAAAATTTGAATAAAGCTCTTTTTAAAATTGCAGTTATTATTATCATTATTGTAGTAATATATATAGTAATTTCTATTATAGCTATCATTATATTAAAAAATTATGGTTATCATCATTATATTAAAATTATGGTTATCATTATTACATTGAAATTATAGGTACCAATATGATATTAAAATTTTAGTTATTATTAAAATTATATTAAAGCTATAGCTATCATTGTTAGATTAAAATTATGCTATCATCATTATTATATTAAACTACAATCATCATTTTATGGAAATCATAGTTATCATTATTATATTAAATTATAGCTATCATTGTTTTATTGATATCACAGTTATCATTAGTATACTGAACTATAGTAATCATTGTTTTACTAAAATCATAGCTATCATTATTATATTAAATTATAGCTATCATTGTATTAATAAAAATATACTTATCATTGTATTAATAAAATCATAGTTATCATTATTATATGAATTATAATTATCATTGTTCTAATAAAATTATAATCATCATTGCTCTATCAAATCATAATTATTACTATCATATAAAATTGCAATTATCATTGTTCTATCAAAATATAGCTATCATTATCATATAAATATATAATCACCATTGTTCTAATAAAATTATAGCTATCATACTTATATAAAAATATAATTATCATTGTTCTTTATAGTTATCATTATCATATAAATTATAACTATCATTGTTCTATTAAATTTATAACTATTATTACTAATATTTTTACCATTTTTATACATTTGATAGTGAATTATTCAAAAATTGATGCACATTTATTGAAAATATAGTTGAAAAATTTATTCGCAATCAATAAAAAATTTTTGATGAAGTTACCACTTAAATTAAATTTCATATGCTAAAATGATGATAGCAGGGTAGTAGTAGTGGTATTGTCAACAACTTTTTTATGATACTTATTTATCATTTCGCTTATCTTTTCAACATCACTTAAACATTTCTTCATTCATTTATCATCTTCTTCAAAAAAAAATAAAAAAATAAAACTGAAAAACACAATCAAATTAAAAAAGAAAGAAAAAACTACAACCTTTTCTCTCTCTCTCTCACTCTCTCTCTCGCTTTTCCCTTTTTGAAATCTTTTTTTTTATTTGAAATTTTTTCCCGGAGGATATTTTCAAATTCACTTTTTAAAGCTTATCACTCATCCATAAATAAATGTATATGTACATATATTCATGCAATAGCAATTTCTTCTGTCCTTTTCATTAATTTTTTTTTTTTGAAGTAATTCAAATAAATTCATTTTTCCGCTTTGACATTTTAGTGCGCAAATGGTAAATTTTTTCCGCCTCTTACATAAATCTTTTCATTCATGCATAAAGGGAAAACTTTTTTCATTCTTTTACATTTTTCATGTTAAAAAAAAAAAAAAAAAGTTGAATTGATCCTTGAGATTTTTGCTTTTATTTTTTTTTTCTTTTTTAATTTTAATTTTTTTTTTTTTTGAACAATTTTTCATTACCAATTGATTTTAAGCAAATTGATGAACAACAGCAATGGGATTAATATATTTTTTTTTTATCCAATTTTCAAAAACTTTTTTTTTTTTTGCCATAATTTAAAAATAAAAAAAAAAAAAAAAAAAAAAAAACTTCAAACTATATATCATTTTGTTATGAAAAAAAAAAAAGAAAAGTACAAACTTATATAATTTAATAATAAGGAAATTTGCATAACGAATGAAAATAGATAAGAAAAGCGATCAAAGATTAATTCAAAAATGATAAAATACGAATGCAAATTTATTCAATAATATATTTTCAACTATTTTTATGTCTTTTTTCTTTTTTTCTTTCAAGCAATTTTCTTAGATTTAAAAACAAAAAAATTACAAAATTTCAAATTGCAATTAATTAAAAAAAAAAAAAAAAAATTTACAAATTAATTGATAATAAAAATTTGGAAATAATACATTTTGAGATAAGTTACTTTTTAATAATTTTCAAACAAACAAACAAAAAAAAAAAAAAAACAAAAATCTTAAATGTTTTGAATATTTTTAAATTAGTTTCATTTAAATAAAAGATTCATTTTTTTGTGGAAAAAAAGAATACACTTACTTTTAATTATTTTCATTAAATTTATTGATTGGTGAAAAATTTTTATCACCAAATTATCAGCAAATTTATTTCAATCTCTTTTCTAAATTAGCTAAACAAATGATTGAAATCATTGCGCTATATCAAATATCAAATTATATCATAAGTTATCATTTTTTAATTAAATTTTAAAATGTAATTTATAAAATAGCTTTAGAGTAATTTATCAAATTCCGCTAATTTATTTAGCTAATAAGAAAAATAAATTTTATAATTTTTGTTGAAATAGAAATAAAATTTTCGTCTATTATTAGATATACAAAATAATTATGAATTAATAAATTTTTTAAATCTGTTTAGAAATTTCAAAAAAAAAAAAATAAAAATTTTTGAAATGTTAGAATAATTATTATATGTACGTACTTTTTTTCCTTTTATTTTTTTCATTATCATATCCTGTACATCAGTTAGGTAATTATTATAATTTAAAAGTTAAAAATTGCAATTAAATGGTAATTTTAGCAAAAAAGTACTTCCCCTCCTCTCTTCTTTTTCAAAAAGTACTATCAAACAAAAAATTGCTATAAAGCAATTTTCTAATCTTTTTTTTATTCTTATTGAAATTATTTGAATAATTTTGATTTTAAGTCAACTGAAAAGATTTTTTTTCATATTGTAAGATAGAAAAGAAAAAAAAAATTTAAAAAAAAAAAAAAAAAAAAAACAATTTTTTAAATCTTTAACCACTTTTTCTTTAAAAATTTTTCTTTTTCTTCTTTTCATTAAAATCATTGAGACAATTTTTATTTTTAAAAATTTAAATTGAATAAATATCATTTTAAAAGTTTAAATTAATCCAATAAAAAATTCATAGATTTCGATGGAATAAATAATTTTACAAATGATTTTTTTTTAAAGTTATATTTACATTAATTACAAGGTTAGATTGAATAATGTTCATTTTAAAATCTTAAATTGAATAATTTTTATTTTAAAATTTTAAATTTAACTCAACAAACAAACGAACGATAGCCTTAATTTAAATGAAATTTCATAAATTTTGTACAAAAATAAAAAATTTTTATAAATAATATTTTTAAAATTATATTTCTATTATTATATTCCTGCAAAATTAGACTAAATAACTTTCATTTTAAAAATTTAAATGAATTCAACAATAACCAAAAAAAAAAGCAGAAAACGAAACAATAACTAAAATAAAAAATTTTACAAATAAAACTTTTAAAGTTACATCTACATTACTTGAATAGCTTTTATTTTAAAAATTTGAACTGAGTAAATTTCATTTTAATATTTCATTTTAATTCAACAAAAAAAGCAAACAAGTAAACAAACAAACAAACAAACAAACAATAACCTTAATTTAAAATTAAAAAAAAAAAAACATAAATTTTAAAATGAAATAAAAAAATTTTTATAAAAAATATTTTTAAAAGTTTTTAATTTATATTACTTACAAGGAAGACGATATTTATTATAGCCGGTACCATTGAGTAATTTATCCATAATAGCAGTCTCTGTGCTACATTTTCGTCGTTTCATAACTGTGTCACCGGAATTGGTCACAGAAATATTTTCCGGTTTCTGTTGTTGCTCGTCGTCAACAATGTCACCCCAGAAGACATCAATTGGTTTTTGATCCTCATCCAAATCATTATCCAAATATTCATAATCACTATCATCAGTTGCTCTTATCACAATATCATCAGTGATTAGTAACCAAGCAGCAAACATAATTAGATAAAAACCCATCAATGAAAAAAAAGGAAAAAAAAATATTGAAAATATATTCACCAATATTTCGTCTTCGATTTCTTCACCTCCTTTAAAATAAATTAAAAAATTAAAAAAAAATTTTTTAAAGAAAAAAAAAAACTTTTTAGAATAAAATAGAGATAAAAAACATAACGCGAATAAAACAGATAATTTATTTTAATTCATAAATAATTAATTAACTTAAGATAATTGAGAAGAGAACATACTGAATAATATAATATTTGAATCAGTTAAAAAAAAAAAAAAAAAAAAACGAACGATTATTTTAAAAAATTTATCAAACAAATTTTCTTTTCTTTTTTTTTTTTCTTTCTATCAAATATAATTATTTACGAAAAAGAAAAAAAAAAAACAATAATAGCAAACTTTTTAAGATACTTAAGTAATGCAAAAAAAAAGAAAAAAAAATTATAATATTAAAATTTATAAAAAAAAAAGCACAGAAACAACAAAAAATGAAATAAATTAACCTAGAAAAGCAACAAAAAAAAAAATGCTTAATTAATTTAATATGATAATTTTAAAAAATAAAATTAATATGACCGTATACTATAATAATAATAATTTAACCTGAAAAAGAAATTTTAATGAAAAAAAAAAAAAAAAAAAAAAAAAAAAAAAAAACGGATTAGGAAATATTCCGTAAAAGGTAAAAACTGAACAATGTTTATTGAGGGAAAAGTATGGATTGTGTATGTGTCACATCCATTTGGCTTTGACAGAAGATAATTAGCCACGCCTATTTCGATGGAATATTGAAGAAATAGGAAGAATAAATGGTCTCTTTCGTTATAGCCTTTGTATTAAATCTAATTTTATCAAATTGTTTCAGAAAAAAAAAAGAAGAAAGGATCAATCGATCGATCGATCGATCGTTTAGTGTGATCAAATGAAAAAAAGAATCGATCGATCGTTTGGTGTGATCAAATGAAAAAAAGAATCGATCGATCGTTTGGTGTGATCAAATGAAAAAAAGAATCGATCGATCGTTTGGTGTGATCAAATGAAAAAAAGAATCGATCGATCGTTTGGTGTGATCAAATGAAAAAAAGAATCGATCGATCGTTTGGTGTGATCAAATGAAAAAAAGAATCGATCGATCGTTTGGTGTGATCAAATGAAAAAAAGAATCGATCGATCGTTTGGTGTGATCAAATGAAAAAAAGAATCGATCGATCGTTTGGTGTGATCAAATGAAAAAAAGAATCGATCGATCGTTTGGTGTGATCAAATGAAAAAAAGAATCGATCGATCGTTTGGTGTGATCAAATGAAAAAAAGAATCGATCGATCGTTTGGTGTGATCAAATGAAAAAAGGATCGATCGATCGTTTGGTGTGATCAAATGAAAAAAGGATCGATCGATCGTTTGGTGTGATCAAATGAAAAAAAAAACAATTAAATTATCATTAAATTAATGATAACATATCACTAATATTCTAATATACAATTTTAAATTAAAATTTGTTCTGCTTTTTTTGATTAAGACAAATTAAGAAAACAAAAGTAAAAAAAAAAAAAGTAAATTATACATATTTTGAATATTGATAAAATGTTTTCATTTTTGAGAAAAAAAAAATCCTGAATTTTAATTTTAAACTAAAATTTATTCTTTTTAATTACTTTGATCCAAAAAAGAAAAAAAAAAATTTTAAATTTAAAAGTCAGAAATAAGAATGTAAACGAAGTAAATTATAGATATTAATGAAATGTATTAGTTTGTAAAAAAAAAAAAAAAAAAAAAAAAAACAAAATGAGAATGAAATTTAGCGATTAGTAAAAAAGGAATAAAATAATAATTTCAGGTGATAGAAACTATTTAGAATTTAAATTTAAACATTAAATTTTATATAAAATGGATTTTAAAAAGTTCACTTGAAATATGAATGATACACTTTTTTTGATTTTTATTTTATTTCTTTTTTTTTTTTTAAATTTTTTTTTAAGCTATAAATTTTATCTTTTGTTAAAATTAGTTGAATTATTTTAACTACTCATCCATCTTCTTCTTTTATTTAAGTTCAATTTTTGAGCTTTTCATGATGAAGCAATTAGCGCACATTACTTACTTTTCAATTAATGCATTTTTTGCGCATACAGAAAGAAACATTTTACTATATTAAAAATTAAAATTAATAAAAATATCAGAATTTTCCCATATACTTTAATGCCTACGTTTCGTTTTTTGTAAAATTTTAATACAAATGTAAAATTCTTCAAATCATTTGTGATATAAAAATCAAACATTAAAGATATATCATTCATTATTAATAATCAAAAAGAAATTTTGTTCAAAATTGAAAATTGAAATTGAAAAAAATTAAAATTGAAAAAAATACAAAATGTGATATAGGAATGAATTTAACAATTTAATTCATTTTAAATTTAGCAAAACTTAAAAAAAAAACGACAATTGAAAGATTAGTAGCAATCAAATGGATCAAAATGAAATTTTAATAAATTCTAAATTGAATTTACTAAAGTTATTTGAGTAATAATTTTTGCTTAATTTGTTACTAAAATTTAATTCATTTAAAAAAATAAAAAAATAAAAATGAATTAAATGAATTAATTTTCATTGACAAATTATACATTTAACCATTTCATTAAATATTTTTGTTTGTTGGTTGTTGTTGTTTTCTTATTTTTGTTTTTTACTAATTAAAATTTAACTCTTCAAATATTTATAAATTATGGTATAGATTAAATTAGCAGATATTCAAATATTTATAAATTATGGTATAGATTAAATTAGCAGATATATTAGTAAAAATAATTAAATTGAATATAAGTTGCATTAAAGTAAATTTTTGATATGCAAAATTCATCGAAAAAAAAAAAAAATGTCACACACTTAGTTTATGATAATTTTATAATTTTAATAAATTTCATTAGCTAAAATGTGTCATAGCAACGAGAATTTAGCTTTTTGATTGAGGAATTTAAAAAAAAAAAAAAAAAAAAAAATAATTAAATAAGAAAAAAATGAAAGGGAAAGGATAAGAATGAAAGCAACACAACAAAATTTATATTCAGCTAAGCATTTTATAAAATTTTAATCATTTTTCAATTTTCAATCATTGAAGAATCATTTTTGCATAAATTATTACTTTATGTATATATTTTTTACTTAACTTACTTATGTAACTCTTTTAAACTTGAAAAAAATTTTTTTTTAATTCAACTTTTTAATTTTAATTTTAAATTTCACGAAAAAAGTTACACAAGAATTGAAAATTTTTTATGCAATAATTTTATTTAACTTACTTATCTAACTCTTTAAAACATGAAAAAAAAATTTTTTTAATTCAACTTTTTAATTTTACAAAAAAAAAAAAGTTATGCAAGAATTGAAAATTTTTATGCAATAATTTTATCCACAAATTATTATTATTATTATTATTATTATTATTATTATTATTATTATTATTATTGTTATATATGAATGTAAAAATATAAGAATTAAAATATTTAAAAATATTTTTATGCATAATAAAGTAAATTTAAATGTTAAAAATTATTGAATATTAATGCTTTTGTTAAAAAAATAAATAAAAGTTTTCATAAAATTTATTCAAATTTTTTTTTTTTTTACATTTTTATGAAAAAATTAGCATAAAAACGTTTAAATTGATAAAAAAATAAAAAACTTTTGCAAAAATCCTTTTAAAATACTAAAATACTAAGAAAAGCATAATGGAAAGTGATTTTTTTTTTTTAAAGTGGTATGATAGCTATTATAAAGTTTGGGTACTTTTCCCTTGGGTAGTTGTGTTAGTTTTAGTTTGTGCATTAACAAAATTTAACAATTTAGCTCTTAAATTGATTTCAACAATAAAAAAAATTAGATTCATATCAAATAATTTATTTAACTATTTAAAATTGCAATTAAAAATTATCAAATATTAGAAATTAGATTCAAAATTGGAATTAAAATTTATCAAATATTAGAAATTAGATTCAAAATTGGAATTAAAAATTATCAAGTATTAGAAATTAATTTAAGTAGGAAATAAGAGACAAAAAATGATGATAAAATTCAACTAAGCAAATTAACAATTTAGTAAAATTGAAAAGTGATAAAAAGAATTTTCATAACAAAATTTTAGTTTAATTTGAATTATTAATTAGAAAAAAAAAAAAATTAGATCAAATTATTGGTAAAAATGAGAAATTTGTTTTTTCCTTTTTATCAGCAAATCATTATTACGATGGAAAACAAAGGTAATTTTTGCTAAATACTTTTTAAACATTGTTATTTTAATTAACAAAAAGGTAAAAATGAATAAATTTGCAAATGGAATGATTTTTTTTTCAACACAATTTTTATTTATTTATTTATTTTTTGCTTTTTTTGAAATTTTAACTGTTGATATCAAACTAACACATTAAAATTAAACAAATAACACATTTTGAAGAGAGTAAATGAGTAAACAAATAAGTAAGTAAATTAATATGTAAACGAAATAACAATTATTAAAATAATGATAAAATGCAATTTTTTATTTTTTGCATAAATAATTTATTTAATAAGCAATTTTTTATTTTCCAGAAATAAAATATAAATTTCATTTTTGTTTTCTTCCTGAATTTTTTAATTAACAAGTCGTTAAATAATAAGTTGCGGATTTTCTTGAAAGATTTGTCATTGGTCGAGAACAAACAGGAAATTGAAAGACTTTTATGAGTTTAAAGTAAGCATTTTAATAGATATAGTAATAATAATAATAATACTTTGATTGTTTGAAGTGAAATCGAAATTGTAGTAAGATTATAGAATGTTTATTAAAATAATGTGAAGTTAGGATGAAATGAAAAATATAAGAGGAAATGAAATCGTACGTATTTGTAGTTGACCTTTCGTAGTTGACCTTTTGTTGTGGAAAAGATTAACAGTGAAATAACCTTTATTTATTACAGAAGTTATCAGCCTAGCAAAAAGAAGATGAAGATCAAGAT